TAGAATAAAAGTCTTGTTGGCAAATAAGACAGAAATCTTCTTTAAGTTTCCATTTCCAGGCATATCTAAGATTAATTTTCAGCAATTTGATTTCATCAAACAAGCTCATGTGTTTTAATAAAAATAAATAAAAAAATAAAATCATCAAAATCTTTAAACAAAGATCAGATTTTTAATAAAAATTTTTAACCCTAGAAATGTCATACAGTTATAACGCAACAATTTCAGATGAAAGTAATACAGTAAAAGCATGTATACAGAATGCAAAAGTATCATTTAAGAATACAAGAGAGACATGTAGTACATTAAGAGGAAGAACACTTCAGAACTGTTTTGAGTATTTGAATAATGTTATTCGTAAAATAGAATGTGTACCAATGAGAAGATATGCAAGAGGGGTGGGAAACACAACACAAGCAAGAAAGTTCAGCACAAAAAATTTTGTATGTACTAAAGGAAGATGGCCAGTAAGATCAGCAGCACTAATGTTAAGAATATGTAAAAACATAAAAAATAACGCACTTAACAAGGGACTGGTACCAGAGAATTTAATTGTAGATATGGTGACGGTAAATAAGGCACCAATAATATTTGGAAGATGTTTTAGAGCTCATGGTAGAGTGAATTCATTTAATAAGAGTCCATGCCATGTTAAAATGGTATGTAAGTCTATTCAACCACGTATTAATGCAGATGATGAAGTAGTTGAAGTAAAAGAATAAAGTAAAATTATTTAAACTGATTTATTAATCTTTTCTTAGTTCATGTAATTCTTTTGTTTGTTCTAAACCATCATCAATAATTAACTCTAAATAATCACCAGTTTTAACGTCAGTTTCAGCAGCGGAATTAAAAGCAGCTTTAATCAATTTAATAGCATTTTCAAAACTGATAGAAGAAAAGTTATAGAAGTTTTTACCATCAATCCATGAATCTAATAAAGGTTGAATCATTGGTGCACCACTACCTTCTACCTGACACATACTACTTCCATAAGAACCAACCACATCATAAGAGTATATTTTAGCTTCTTTTTCTCCTTTATCATTAATCAAATAACCAGCCAATACACAATATGAATAATAAGGAAAGAATCTACGTGAGTAAAGAATGTTTGACAATAATTTAGCTGTTGATTTAATATTTATCTCACCATACTGTTCATGTTTCTTAACATTGTAAAGTAATTTTTTATAAACTTCTTCTCCATCTGCTTGAAATCCAACACACGTGAAATAAAAATCTTTAATTTTATGAATCTTTGAAGAATATCTTGAATTAATGTTGTAATCACCTGAGTGTCTTGTATCTGCTGCTATTATTAGTTTGTTATCAACAATAATTGCTATTGTTGTTCCACCATTCATTTCATATAAATCTTCTTCTTTAGCTTGTACTTTATTAATCCCTCCTGCCATTTCTATTTGAGTATCTTTCATTGATAATAAACTACATTTATCATTAGTTAGATATGTCATTTGTTCTTTACTAAATGGCATTCCTCTTTCATTCTCATATCTTTTTGTTATTTTCTCTCTTCTAACATTAAATCTTTTAAAGTTTCTTTCCATACAAACAACTTGGGGTATCAAAATATTAAAAATAATCAATTTTATTTGTAAATCTTTTTAATTTCATTCATCATTTCACAAACATTGATTATTCTTTTCTCTTTATTCATATCACTTAAATCAACTAATTTGATCAAATCTTCTTTTTCTTCTTTCTCGCCTGTTAAAATTAAAAAT